GTTGCTACTTGTCATTCTCATAATATCAGTCAGAGAATTACTGACTGATTAATACCAAGTTAGTTAACACGATAGTTTGCCACAGAGCATAGGCACCTCTGAAAGCCTGAGAAGTTTATGAAATTTACATACATACTTCAAAGTAGAGGCTTGAATTGCTTCAGTTAATCGGTTAAAGAAAGATCACACACGCAAACTATTAAGGTTTTCTAAATATTGGGTTGAACCATATGAAATTGTAACTTGTGTAGTTCAAAACTATTTGTAGGTCAACTATTGGAAATTTCATATGGTTCAGTTTAATAATTTATTACCTTGCTGATTGGCAAAAATTATTTTTGTATGTTTCATGGAGCATGAAAATAATGACTGGCATCTAGGAAAAAAATATATTTTTTCTCTCATTTAAAATAAAAATGTTTGTAATGAATTATAATAATTTGGTGAGAACAAAATTATGAACCACATGCTATAGAAAATATTAATAAAATTTTACAGTGCCAGTGATGGTATTCACTTCATTTTAAAAATTGGTCTCAAGTTGCAGTGTGATTAGAAAAATAAAATCAGTCATCATTTGTCTTTTATGGTGATGGTTGTTGCATATTTAAAATAACTCCTGAGTTTTTTGCTTGTAAGATGTCGTTTTTATTAAATCATAACACAGATGGTATCTCTTAAAATTTTATTATTCTAATCTGGGTTCCAGTCAAATAGATTTAAAAACCAAGTTGAAAACTATGTTAGAAATATGTCTTCATTTTAATGCGCTCAATCACAGAAATTAAATTTGTAGGGAAATAAGCATTTTTGAAGAACACTGGCTTTAACCTGAGGCAGAATGAATCAGCTAAATTATATATCCCTGAATGTTTTAAAGTCTTGGCACATACTTAAGCATTATGTTGCTACCAATGATAATAAATCTCCTTGCATATAAAATAGGCCCTAGAACAATGTGAACATTCTAGAACAACAATAACTAAGTAAATTACTGTTTCTGGCTAACTAATTTCTTATTGGGTTAGTTTTATTAAAATGATAGATTATATTTTTCCCTTCATAACATTAGAAAGTGTTAAAAGCATATTGTGTTCTTATTTGGGTATGTGAATATGGCTGGCTGCTGGATTTGATGATTGGCTTAGAGCTCTTTTAAAATGGTCTGCATGTGCTCTTGTGATTTCTAAAAAGTTCAGACTCATTCCTGAACAGTACAATCACACT